CCGCCAGATGGCATTTTTTTTACTTTTTTACTAGATCTCCAAAACCGCTAGACATGCCTTCATAAAAATTTGATCAGTTCATTATCTTGCTAATACAAGTAAAATGTTTTTTGAATTATTCAAATCGGACGCTCCGTTCTCTTAAAAACTGAGTTACCGTTTTTGGCACTTTTTACCCCATATCTTCGGAACGGCTAGACCTGCCTTCGCCAAAAACTAATCAGGTCTCCTTATCAATACGAATCTAATGTTTTTTTGCATTATTCAAATCGCTTCATCCGTGTTCCCGAAATCGTCGACGAAAATTTGTATTCGAACACACACACAAACGCATACACACACACGTATCCATTTTTTCTAAGGTATGCCAAAATATTCAGAAACCTCTGAAACGTAAAGGTATATAAAAATTTTCATTTTTGATTTTTTTGCGATTACTATAACTTGCCTCCGGGAAGTTAAAAAAATTCTGGATGGTACTAAACTCATCATCGTTTGTTCAAGACTACAGCAACTCAATAATAATATTGGGATTTACCATAGACATTACACTACATGGACTGCTACTCTCATATGTTTTCCGTTGCATATAGTGCTCAAATATAGAAGGGTCTGTGGCGTCACTTGCTGAGCGAACGTTGTCGACAATCGCGGATTCTCGATTGATTAAATGTCATATGTCATATGTTTTATTTTACTAACTTGATTGAAATGCGCAACTTTGATTATAGATGGCGGCACATGTACACTTTGTAAATTAACCTCTGGTATTACTTTTACATTTGTACATATAATCAATACAGCCAAAAAATCGGAAAAAGAATTAATATTGGAAATAAGAACAAAACGTACGAATTACAAAATATGTTTTTAAATATATCAAAGACATATTTTTGAAGAATTATCAACTAGACAGAAATAACTGACAAATATTAATTAAAATATATTACAGACATATTTTTAAAGTACTACAAATTAAAGAGAAATAACTTATTAATATTAATTACTTAATGACTAATAATATATTAAAAACTCAAAAACTAATAAAAGAAAAGCGCAGGATATTGGCGATGGAATGACAAATTTAGCAGGAATAAGAATTTAAAAAGAAAAAACGTACAGATAATTTAAAAAAAAAACTAATATTTTGCAAACAAAATATTCCTAAAAACATAAAATATATATACTGATATAAAAAATAGAGAAAACTAATTTCCTACGATTGAAATTCATTTACGAGACATTCTTGTTTATTATCTCTGCATTTAAAATAGTTATTTTGCTATCTAATCAAAGTTGCATTTGACGAAATCTTAGATTAGTTTGCGTTTGGAGCCGCGTGAGCGCTGAATGAACGGTATGGCAAGGTGTGCCGGCACCCTTACAACTTACTCCGCTCTCTGTTTGCTTGCTTTGTAATCTATGTCGTGCGGTGAATCACTTTGCATTATTTTCAACCATGTGTTTTTATTATGTCAATTTGATTCTGTTTAAATTCAGTGTTTTAATGTACGATTAATGACCTAAATTGGCGATAAAATTATTTGCAGGCTTTCGGTTAGTATTTTGGTGTGTCGTAGTTTCGTGTATTTATTAAATCTGTGAAGAACATTTGACAGCTTTCTATTCTGCATTCTCTTTTATTTTATTTGCGAAATATTCGTTTGCAACGTTCTTGCTTTTTGCTTCTTGCTTATTGCTTATTGATTTAAGTTTAAACTAAACGTTTGAATCATTTATCAGCTTATTGAGTACGTATTCACTAATTTTTTTTATCGATATTGTTTCAATGCATATGCTAGTTATATTTTAACAATTTCTTATATGAGCATTTCATGTTTTCTTTCTTTTCATCAGATTTTCATATTATATTTGTATATATCCAATATAATGTTTTATAATTTCAGATGTTGATAATGAAACACTATTCATGATGAAAGGTATTGTGAATGTTTTGGCTGCATGGCTGTTCGAGGTAATTTGGGTAACAGATTCTTAACGTAAGTGCCTTTATGTTTTTCATATCAATCTGGAACACTACAATCAAACACTCAAATTATCAACTAAAACAGTAACAGTTTATAAACTGATATGTATCATATATGCAACTAAATGGAGTTACAAATGTTCATTCAATAACATTCCTAGCTTTTTTCTGCAATTTATTGTATTGTTCCTCAGTATACTCACACCTTATCGGTGTCCTGTATGGGGTAGACAAAGTTCTAATGGTTAACCTGAAACTCCTCTAAATGTAAAACTGATACGTTTTCTCTTTCTTGATTTGCTGTATTAAATATATTTATGAATTACCCACTACCCAGTAAGCATGTGATGTTGCAACAATATTCTATATAAATCCCTGCCAACATCCCCGCTTTGACAATAAACCAATGTGGTGTAGATGTTTGTTTAAAATTGCAATTGTGATATATCGATCGGTCGTTTTTTGTGAAGGCTATCAAAGGCTATATTTATATTGAGAGAGAATCGTTACATCAAATTATCTTATATTTTAGAAATTTTAATAAGTGTACATTTTGTTAACATTTTTTTTTATCTGTGATACTGCGACGCGGCGCTTACGCGCTTCGGTGTTGTTCTCTGAAATAGCCGCGTAGCATGAGTGCTTTAAAAAAAATTCAAAATTTTCAAAAAAAATTTCGAGACAAAAAAATTCAAATTTTTCAAAAAAGTCTATTTTTATAAAAAAATTTCAAAAATCTAATTTTTTCAAACTTTTTATTTAAAGAAAAAATTAAATAAAAATCGAAATTACGACTACTAATTATTTTGATATATGTTAAAATTATTTCAATTTAATAAATGTTCAAGTATAAATAAATAAAAAAATTATTAGTATTGCCCGAAATGCTTTTACTGATGGCGTGAGGTTTGAATAGGAATGCTCAAAAATAATTTTTTATCCGCAAATATATATTTTTAATAATCTAATCATAAACAAAATATTTATCTAAAGATGCTTAGTTCTAATTCTAGTTGTTTGGAATAAATATCAAATATTAAATGAATAACTTGTGAATTTTGTGAATTTGCTATACACAACGCAATGATATGTGGTAACTCTACTGTGGTAACAGGAAAGGTAGGATTATCGAGGATTAAGGATGGCCGGTTACCAACAAATGGTGTTTGTTTTATATTGTTAGTAAACTTGGCATTGAAATAAAATGGGAAAGTAAGTACATCATATATATAACTATTGCTCTGATGGCGCGTGCTGGTACGGGGTTAAAAGTTCCACGACCAAAGTGTCAAAAACCAGTAAAGCTAAAGCATTGTTCAACAACAATATTTGAAAGTAGAGGGAAAAAATTTATAAGCAGCTATAACTTTGACTCTTATGACTTTGCTATCTGGAGATAAACTGTAATCTTTGAAAATTCATAATAAAAGTATTTTCTTTATTAGTTAAAAGTGAAATTATTTTGTAAAATACCTCTAAAATTAAAATAAGACATTAAACCTGTTTGCCATCTGGCCGTTCCAAGTTACCCCGCCTATAGGGTTAAAAGGTCTCTATAACAAATATTTGAAAGACAGAAAAACGCACATTTTTACATTAATGAAGTAGCTGGTAGTTTTACCGAACGTAGTCAGATAATTGTTTGTTTGAAATGTGTCATTTGTTATGATAAAATTGGTTTGATTTTCATAATAAAATTTATAGTTGCTCAAACTCAAATTCGACCTTTATTCGACAATTATACACAAAATCCAGAATCCAGAAGAATCTGAAAAGCTTACAACGTAATCAATAAGTCGAAATACCAAAAAAGACTTGGATTGGATTATACCATGATTTCTATAGAAAGTGTATAAAGCTTCCAGTTTGATTGTATTGACAAAACATAGACAAACTAATGGGGCTTATTGTTTTTTATAATATCTCATTGTATATAGCATTCAAACAACACATCCTTATACACTTAAAGTATTAATATTTTTGATTCTCTAGAAATTGTTTAGAATATACCTTTCTTAGCAAAACAACGTTTGCCGGGTCAGCTTGTAATACTATATATGTTCTCAGAACTAATTATAAGTAATTGCCGGAAAATCGATTTTCACTTTTTGAAGCTACTCTTAAAATTTTTCTCTTGTAGACTGATATCGAGGACATCCAAAAAAGATGTGGTTAAGGGATTCTTCTTCATATCCACATGTAAATGTCGGGGAATTGATCATCTTAATTTTGTTTAGGTGCTTTCCAAATCTCCAGTGATCTAGTCGGATCCTACATATATTTGTAATGTATTTTCTATTTTGTTTTATTTTTTTAAACCAAGGTTGCGTAGATACGTTCGGGTTTATTGATCCATAATTGTCCTTTTTTCTCTAGAGCCTTTACTACTAGAGACGCATGTTATATTATTTGCGTCTTATATCATTTTAATTTTGGCACTTCTCAGCTGCTTTCCGACAATAATAATGTAGACATTACATTTTCTTTATTTATAATCATGAATTTATTATATTTTAATATTGCCTTAGCCTATAAGTGAATAAAAATGTTTGGCAAATGACAGTTGTCATTTGTTTTTAATGTCAAACCATGCCTTAAATATTTTCAAGGTCAAACAATGATAAGCGTTTTTTTATATTTTTTTCCATTTATTTCTACAATCTAACGATATTTCTATGAATCTAAAAATTCTAAAAAATTTCCCGAACAAACTTCAAGTAGATTCATGAAAATCCGAATTATAGTTTAGGAGGATTAACCATTCATATAAACTTACACAAGAATTGTATATATATATATATATATATATATATATATATATATATATATATACTAGCTGACCCGGTGAACTTCGTATCACATAAATAATCATTAATAAAAATTAATTAAATCTTGTATATGAAATAATTAACACATTTGGTTGGAATTAATGCGTACCTTTCATATATACTATATTTTAATTATCAAAAATACCTTTTTTATATTTCATATATAAAATATTTTATACATTTGCTTATGAATCGAATGTTTTGGACTCAATATAAAGCTTTTTGGTCTTTTTTTGCGGTGCGTAAATGAATAAGGATGATGGTTTCCCGACGCGCGAACACGCAACGTATAATTGGCCGTGTGCGAAACATAGAAACTCTAAGTTGATACCGCAAACCTGCAGCGACTGTCCTTGCGATTTGTTGATGCTCATTGCAAAAGCGAGGCGTATTGGAAATTGTAAACGCCTGAAATCAAATGGTAAATCCGTTGGGATCATGGGAATTCGCGGGATCAATACATCTTGTCCCTTGTATTTACCTTTAATTATTTTTGCCACAATTACATTATTCATTAGCTTTTTTACAACCAATCTTGTTCCATTGCATAGTATGGGTTGATTTAAATTACGTAGCATGATGACAACTGATCCTACTTTCAATTGTAAATTATGTGGTGGCAGCCCAGGCAATTTTAATGAATTTAGAAATTCTGTAGGATAGTTCAGTATATCATCCTGATTTGTAGCGGTGTCTACAGATTTATAAGTAATGCATTCCCCTGGAAGTGAACTTTGTATTGTTGCATTGAGATCGTCGACATCTTTATTTTTTGCCGCCAATATCGCTCGTTCGCTCAGCCAATTGAGATCGTGAAATTGTTGGTTTATATTTGGAAATACGCAGTGAATAAGCTCCTCCTTTGTGTTTGTGAAGCTACAAAAATCTGCGGGAAATGTGATTAACCCGCTCGAGGCATCAACTGCGACATTACCATTTCCAATATTTAGTAACTGCTTTGAAAACACTTTTGCTGTTTCATCTTGTTGCAAAACCACTCGCATGTTCGTTGTTAACTGCAGTTTCTTAACATGACGCCACAAATTTGATGATTTTAGGCTTGCGTTTAGTTCGTCAGCAACAGTTGATCGCGGTATAACTGGAAGAGTTTGGCGAAAATCACCTGACAACAAAATCATTGCTCCACCAAATATATTTTGATTGTCACGCAAATCTTTCAGTGTTCTGTCCAGTGCTTCCAGTGACCTCTTGTGAGCCATTGTACATTCGTCCCTGATAATCAATTTGCATGTCTGAAGTATCTTGGCCATGGCGCTAGTTTTTCTGATGTTGCAAACTGGTGTTTCATTGATTTGCATATTAAGAGGTAACTTCAATGCTGAATGTGCAGTTCGTCCGCCTTCTAACAATGTTGCTGCAATTCCTGATGATGCCAATGCTAGAGCTACGTCATTTTGCGATCTGATCTTTGCCAATAGCAATGATAACAGGAATGTTTTGCCAGTACCACCAGGAGCATCAAGAAAAAAAATCCCTCCGGATCCACTGTTCACTGCTTGTATCAAATCATCATATACAATCCTTTGATGATCATTCAACTTTGGAACAGTTGTGCGAACTATTTCAGTCAATGTTTTAATATCATACTGTTGCTCTCTTCTTAACTCATGGTTAAATGCATCTTCTACACAACGGTTTGGTGCTGTTAGGCCCAAACATGATAATATTTTATTCGCCATCAATAAACACATATCCTCTATCATGATCAAAGTTTTATTATAAATTTCTGCAGTAATTTGTAGTGCTGGATTGAATGTTTGACAACGCGCACTATGTAAAATATCCTCAGACATGTCATCTCTATATTTGATCCACAAATCTTTCGGATTTGAGGGAAAACATGTTGAAATTATAATCGCAAACAATGTACGCACTTGATGCGGAGATGAGGATATTATGGCATCCTTGAGCGTATTATCCCAATGCGAATCGTCTTCGAGCAACTGCAACATGTGACATGCTTCACGGTAAGTCGCACAAAGATGTCCATCAACTGTTTTCAATTGCTGAAATGATGTCGGTCCAGGAACATTAACCAGCAATAACCTAAGGTAGTAACATTCATCATTATTTGGATGTACTGTATAAATGCGCCCTATAGCATCTGTAGCAAATATATTTGGATATCCTTCAACCGGTGTTCCTTTTTTACGACGTTGAAACGACTTTGATGATGCGTTCCATGTGTAATAGCGCGGCATATCAGCATACATCAAAGTACGGGCAAAATCATCTCTTTGGCAAATTGAAAAGAAACTTGTTAATGTTGTTGGAGGTGGATGCGCCGCTCTATCAACGGCATTAACGGGGTTAAAATATACTCTTTGTCCATTTTCTAAATGGACTGCCAAATGGACTACAGAAGGGTGTCTTTCATGTATTGGGAAAGAAAAAATTCTCCAAATTGCTTCATTGCTACTTACGTAGCGACCCATCTGATACTCAGAAACTTCATCATTTGTTTTAGCAACAGCGAACATGGCCATGTCACTACCTTTGTTAATATATTTGCATATATATTTTATTGATTTGACAGAGTTACAAAATTCTACATTGATGTGTGCTTGAAAAGTTTTGGATAATATCGGGGAGTACGGCACAATCCATCGGTTGTCAACATATAAATCTCGTCCTTTTACCTTCACAACTACATATTGCCCACCATCCGCAACTGATTGCCTTCGATACAGCGGATAACCGTCATTTCCAGTAATGGTTTCAGCAGTTAGATTTCTCGGGTATCGTTTAGAGCACTTGCCGTCAATCATACAGGTCGAGCTATCGTTGAAAACTCCGCAAGGTCCATGTATCATATGTTTAGTAATTATTGCATGCAAATTTGGATCAACATTTTTATTAGGAATCTCTGCTGATATGACTGAATCAATATCTTCTGGCCTCATTTTGTCAATTAACCAGACTAAGATGTGCGCATGTGGAAGACCACGCTTTTGCCACTCAACTGAGTACATCCAGCAACGTACTTGGCCATATACATGATGCTTTATTATGAAATTCAACAAAGATTTCAATTTTGTTTAAAAACTCTGGCTGTAATATCATGTCTATCTCCTGGTGTTTGGTCGTGTATCAATTCTTTCTTAATTTCTATCCATTGCGGGTTACATATAAATGTAATGAATAGATCGGGGCGACCATATTTTCTAACGTATGTCATTGCATCTTGTGCGTATTCGTGCATGTGGCGCGGGCTTCCAATGTAGGTAGCCGGCAAAATTGTCATTTTACCCACATCGTTTGCATTACCATCGGCAGTAATAGCATCACGAAGATGGATGTATTCTTCAGATCGAAGGTGCTGTTGGTTTAAGCGTATGTATGTTAATCGCTCAGTCTCAATTTTGACGTACATGTCAACAGCGAACTGTTGAAAAAGTCGTTGACACATCAAAATGTGGTTTATTTCACCATCACGGATCATCAGCCTGTATGAATAAAAATTCATAGCGCTAACTTTTTTATTGGTTTCAGCACCTAAAATCACAAATAATAATATAGATATTGAGTTAAAAAATATTATTTAATTATGTTTATAATTGCCTGTTATTGGATTAACCATTTTGACACTAAAGTGATACCCATCTTCTCCCTGCCAGAAGATTAACGGATATTGTAAAGCATCATAAGACCTATGAGTTTCGGACACGCGCCTTAATTCATTGTTTCGGCGGTGAAGCACAATATCTCTCGATTGCATATTTTCTCCAACAACGACTATAGCCACCTCATCAATTGTTGGTGAATTAAATCTTCCTGCATGCTCACCAGCAGGTGTTTTGTCAGCTCTTATCACAATATTATGGCTGTCTGATGGCATTCGATCAAGTGCCACTTTGAATAAATTCACTAAACAATTGTTGCGATGAAGAAACGTTTGCAGTTGTTGGACAATGGATCGCTTTACTGATGGATTATGAGTACAACGCGTATCAACTTCACGTCCTGATTGCCTAGGAAATAAATTTGTAGGAATTGATGATCTGCATCTGGTAATGGCAGCAGTGCCCCCAATAGGTGATGAATTTGTCCTTGCACCTTGTAATTTTTTATGACATTTTCAATTTATTTTTTATACAAATACAAATTTACATTAGAAACATTATGATATATTACCTTGAACGTCGGTATGAAATTGTTCTGTACTATATGCGTTGCTCCGAAAGATGTCATTTGGAAGCAGTTATTATATTTTTGGATGTTGGATAAGAAGTGTTTAGAGTCATTGGTCATTCCAAAAATTAGTGAGTGTAATGGATCAGGTGGTGGTACCAATTGTGGCAACTTTACCTTACCGCCAGCACAACATAGTCCTGCAGATTCACCATTGTATTTTAAGGCTTTACAGTGCTGACAAATGATCGACATGTCTCCAATTTTTACAAATTTGTGGGCACTGTAATCTATTTCGGATCATAAGAGAATGCTGCTCGCTCCAGGTTGACTGAAGCATTGCTTCTGCGAATTCGAGAAGTTTCATTTTCGCGTGCTCGCTGCTGTTGTGATCGATTTGCAGCAACTTGTTCTCTAAACTCAAGCAAATCTGTCATTGCAATCTGGCTATCATTATTATCAGTCTCCATTTGCCCATCAGTGCGGTTATTACGCGAATTACGTTTTTGGCGTGTTATTTGACTTCTACGACCAATGTCAGGTCTATTTCTTCTCGGCATCGTGAACAGCTGGTATCAGATTTATATAGTATAGATACTACTGTATATATGGTTTGTGATTCTCCTAAATCACATCAAAACACTATACTACTTCAGTAACTCTGTATTCGAGTTAGTGATTCTCCTAAATCACACTAAAACACTACACTTCTTCAATAACTCTGTATTCTCACTATCTTTCACAATAACTTTGATTCGGCATTAAGCTTCAAACCATAGATAAAAGAAGAGTAATCAAACAGAGCATTAATCCTTATGTTAACTAATCAACCAATATTGCTTATATCA